TCAATGATTGAGAATAAATATCCAAATGAAACTAAAGAAATGATTATATCTTCAATGAATAAAAGTAATATAAATTTGACTTCCTTAGATTTGAATTTACCATTAATAAAACCAGAAGAATCATCTGATAGTAATCATTATTTAATGGAACAAAAAAAAATATGTTATTTACAAACAAATCATAATTTTCATTTCACGGTTCGACTTGTACATTTAATACAAGCTGATTTTCTTCTTCTATTTTCCTTACATTTAACTGGTAATACAAAAAGAAAATATATTTCATTTTTTCGAAAAAAAAATCTTTATCTTGTTTTATTTAGCTCTTGTTCTTGAAATAGTTTTACATATTCGTTTATGCTGTTGTATAATAACTAAACAAATTACTTCATCATTTGTTCATGAGCGACAAATCTGTATTTATATACTTTATATATTTACAACAGTAACATCAACATCAATACTATTTTACTTTTATCGTGCGATTGAAATAATATTTGATACTCAATTAGTATCAATAAATAATGATATTATCAACAGTCGTACATTTTCTCAAATATTATTATTTGGTACAAGTTTTAAGCCATTATTATTTTTTATATTATTTTTTCCATCCTCCATTTTATTTAAATTAAAATGTTATTTAACATGTTATTCACCAAAAAATTTTCAAATAATTGAACAAAATGAGCAGATGTTATCACCATCTAATAATCATATTCATCTAAATCAACAGCAACAGATGATTCCTTCACAACATCATCGTTATTCGTTATTTATGCAATCACCATATTATCCAAAATTTCATTCAAGATTCCGAACTCAATCAAATCCTAATTTATCAATAAGTCGGTTACGTCAAGATTCTTTAGCAAAACCCGACCATTATAATAGTTGGTTACGATTAACTCATTCAATTATCGTTAACAATAATACTAATGAAACATCAAACATTAGACTCGTATAATAAAAAGAAAAGAATTTAAGATTTTTTATATTGTATTTGAATATAAAAAAAGAAAGAAAATTTTATGATAAAATTATTTCTAGTTTACTAATCTATAACGGTGTAGAAGTTGCTTCTGATTGTAATTCAATACGTAGTTTATCAATAGTATTGGATGTCATTGGAGAAATCGATTTGAGACTACTCATTACCAAATGTTTTTGTAACACGAATCGTACTTTCACAAATAATAACTGTTGTTATAAGTTCTCGTTGACCTTGCATCTTGAAGTTTTCAAGTACAGATATACCATTAAGTAATTAGTTAAAAATCCATATAGATCTTCTCAAGTCAAAAAAAAATCAGACGCAAGTTTGTGTAAGATTAAATGAAATCATACAAACAGTCATAGTCTCAGAAATCTTACACTAAATTATAGTATACGACTCTCGAAAGATCTCATCGTCATATTATCCAGGTTAAACAAATAGACACTAAGATCTGACAAGATTCTGCATCTGATCTTGCATGATCTTGTAAGATCAGACAAAAAATTCTTGTCTCAGATAGCTTACATCAATTCGTACTGTAAGACTCTTGACAGATCTTGTTGTTCTGTCAGATCGTATTGTAAGATTATAATAAATCTTATTGATTGATAAGATCTTTCAAGTAATTTTATAGTACGATGTGATGCAAGATTTCAGAGATAATGATTTTTTTTTGAATGATTTTCATAAGATTTTATCTGAGTTGCAATCGTCTTGCGTCTGTTTTGTTTGACCTGAGCCACTTTTTGTTAGAGTTAGAAGATTCAATTTGATGACAATTCCTATGTGCGTCATGGTCCGTGCTTTCGTGACATATACTATTTTGTCCGATAATTGTATTTTTTCGAGTAACAATACTGTTGTCATAAGAAAGCTAAGACGATTATATTTCATAACCATTTGATTTAGAATTGACTGACATACATTAAATTTTTATCATTTCAAAAGCTTAAATAAATGATACTCTACTACTTTGTTATTGATTAGCACGAGAGAAAGTAGGTAAATGTCGAAAATTATAAACTCTTGTAAATCTTTTGTAAAAAAAAACTTTCTTTTAAGTTTTTATCAATAAAAATTTAATATGGCACATATATACACACTTTGACAGTGAGAATGAGAGCGAAATCTGTTATTAAAAAGGATTTGTAATTTTGACATTATGTTTTTGACATTTAAGTCATTAAATTATTGGTACTACAAAATAATAAGACAAATATACATTTATTTTGATTAAATAGAAATCTTATATCTCATTATTTAATGTAGACTGGTCAATACGACAAGCATCAGCATTGTTAAAAGTAACAAAAGGATATGAATTTCATGCCCGTCATTGATGATATGAAAAACTATATGTAGGAAATCAATCGAAAGAATATAATATACAAAAAAAAAACGAGCATCTATATTCGGGTCGTCCTGACAATTATCAAGGTGACGATGACAAAGTCAAGAAAGAGAACTAAGTAACTATCGTAATCGTCTTGTATTCCATCAGTCGCAAACATCATTACTCTATTATTAACATATCTCTTTATAATTATATGAAAACTTTGTTTATACCATGTCTATATAGAATTCTTTTACATTGATATAAATTAAAATGTTCACATACTGCTCATTGTTTACACAAACAAGAAAAAAAAGGAGCTTTTTAGTTTTATAGCAGTGGTAATTAGATCAATCGATAAGGGAATTGTCTCCATTCATGTAGAAATACTTTATCTTACATACAATCACACATATTCAGAAGAATAAAAAGAAAGAACGCAATCATATCTCTATCATTGACTATTCTTATTTACATAAATCTATTAAAGTATAAATCGTTTCTTTGCATTCCTTCTCGCTAGAGAAGAAAAGAATAAATCAATTTTTCTCAAAATACATTTCATTTCTACCAGAGCTTGTCCATAGAGTGACAAACTAAAATGATCGATATTTGCTTAAGTCTTTTGGACTTCTGTTTGTTATGATAGAAACGATTAAAGGATTTATTATTTTTTTTTGTGAATGATTCATACATTTTGATTTCAATTGATTTGTACGTCGGTTGTAGTTGATATTAAAAAAAAACATTTCTCCTTGATTTTGTGGAAGAGGAAGGATGAACTATTTTAGTTAGGAATATTAAAATTTCCCTATTTGGTAGAGACGCGGGGGCGGAACGAGTCATTGTCCAATCTTCCAGCTTTTATACTAAGAATTATTCTGATAAAGAACGACATCTTTTATCTTCGAAGTCTCGTTAGCTATTAAATTGAAATATCACCGAACAAGAACCTTTTTGATTATGCAAACGCATGTTACCTTTACTTTATCTGACGGTATCTATCAGTTCTTGTCCTTCAATGTTTTGTAGACTTTAGATTGTTTTTATGACTTAACAACGAGGTCTGATAAGTTATATTTGCAAATGAAAAATAAGTGAGAGTTATGTAACGAGAAATTCCAAAATATAAAAGGTACCCGTGATGTTTTATTCAAAATAATAACTACGCAAAAATTTAACTAAAGTATACCCTGAAGCAATAGCAAAAAACAGTAATTAATAAAGGGTAATTTTGAAAATTCTATCTGCTAAAAAATTTATATATTATTAAATTTAATTTTCAAATTTTGTAGATTTATTATTCATCAATCTAAAAACGTCATGAATACAAACAGTGGTCAAACATTACAAAAATTAGTAACACATAATGACAATACATTAACAAATTCTCAAGCCTCAACAATTACTTTTAATTCAATAAATTATACATTACATACACAAAAGTGTTGTAATGCATGTCCATTGCCANCACTGATAAATGTTTATAGGATTTTTTATGGTCGTTATTAGGTCAGAAAAGGCTAAAATATTTAGTAAACATTTAACAGTGAAAGTACTTAGATATTTGGTCATTTAGATGATGTAACAGATATCAACGTGACCACTGGTCCGAATGATAAAAAAAAATTTGTTTTCCCCAAATGGATGATACCATTAGATTCGCCGTGGTCGAAAACCTAAATGGCAACGAAATTTGAGATTGATTTCATAAAAAAAAAGACCTTTTTTAATGATTTTTAGTGATTATATAGGTTGTCTTGACCATTGTCCGTCTCCTGAACGGCAGTAGATAGAACTTTGAAATTTTCAGGATAGAAAGAGACTTAGGTGCTCTATAGAATTCCGTTGTCAGACTTTAAAGTGTAATGGGAAAATTTTTGATGCTACTGACCTAAATGTGTTCGGACTCTGGCTGACCACTAGTCGGGTTTCAACAAAATGACTTTAATATCAGCAGATAGCCCCAACATTTCGCGTTCGAATGGTGAAAACCGCAGGTTTCTAGCTGCTTCTGCTCGCGAGATATTCAAAAAGTATAGAGGTGCCTTCTTTTTTGGTGCCGGCATTAGTTAATGTAACAACAGCAGGAATAAGTTTGTTTCGAAATACATTAATGACTCTTATATTATAATCATTTGATTTTTTACAATTTTGATCTATTTTTGTTATCTATTTAAGGATTGTATTCAATTTTTTATCAAGAACATTTTCTATATGTTGAGTGTGTGCTAGTAGTATCTGTTCAATAATTTCATTTATATTTTTCGAGGTATTTTGGTTACAGTTGATGGTAGTTTTATATTTATAATTGCTTTCTTGTGAATTCAGATGCAGATTGTTACCTATATTTTTTGATGATGAGTTTATCACTGACCTATGTGCAGAAGGTAAAGGTGGAAAATTTCCGGATTTCATTTCGAATGCTTGGTGAATTCGTATTTTGTTTCGATTTATATTCTGTTTTTCTTTCAATTGTTGATATATTTGTTGAACTTGAGGATATGAGGAATGGCCTAAATAATGTGCTTGTAGACAATTTGCACATTGTATTGGACGTGTACATGATTTTTCTAAATCATGCACGGTGTTGTACCTAAAACATGTGCGAATGTTAGTGCATTGAGATGTATGATGATCGTGCTGGTGGCATTTATAACAAATTGGTACTCATACAGAAGCAAAATATGATCTAACTTGATGTATACTTTGACCTATTGATACACATTCTTCGTTTAGTAATTGTTGAACTGATTTTGACGTACTAAAATCTGTTCTAATCATTTGCGTTAGAATTCCATTTTTGCCCATAATTCTTGTTGCTTTTCTAAAATATGGATATTTTTCTTTTAAGTTGTTTTGTATATCCGTGATATCCCATTCCTTGAAGACGCGATGTATTATAAGTGAATGTTCAGATGGTAATATTGGAGTTTGTTTTACATTGATTCGAATATTACCAATTGTTTGTGGCGATTGCTCTATTATTAGATTATTGAATGACGGATGGTCTATTGCAAATACAAGAAACCCATCGTGACCTTGGCGACCTGTTATTTTGATTTTTTGTGTTTCATTATTAAGTTTTTTCCATTCATATGTAATCTTTTGAATTATTTCTATTTGGGTTGAAGTTGATTTAGATTGAAATTGTATTATAAAAGGATTATAGTTTTGAATTTTCTGTTTACGTAAAGAAAAATTTACATTTGCAATTTGAGGATTTATTCGTTTTGTAAACACATTTTCGAGTGATAGTTTTTTGTCTGAATTCATATTGATATTTGAATTTATATAATTGTTATATGGTATTTGTTTGAAAAGGTGTTCGATGCTTTTCTTAAATAGTCGAGTTCTAGTTGGCTGATTTTCATTACTATTAGCATGCTTCAACGATTGTAGGGATGTAAATTCTTTGTTTTTATGTTGTTTTGGTTTTATCCATTCATCTTCATTGATTTCTTCGTCATCAAATGTTTCAAAGTTTCTTTCATGCATGCTACTTAATATTGAGCTTCTGCTAGTTGAAAGTTGCTGTTTACTTTCATTTTTTCTCATGTTTTTACCGTGCAAAAACACGGAATTTGTAAATTGAAAAATTTATTTATTGAGAAAAAGTAGTCGAAAATTGAAATCATTATATGTGTGTGTGGTCACATGTAAACGAAGCAATCAGAACACAATATAAATTGCTATAGTATCCTTTAATGCTAATATTAAAATGAAGTTATGTATTAATAATGTTTTGAATTTTTTGATGAACTATCATTTTCTTTAATATAAATCAATTGTTCATGATTGGATCAATCGTAGGCGCCATTGATAATTCTAGAAACTATACAATGATCTGATTTAATTTATAAGATTGAATATGAATCGTAGCATCAATGATGTCACTATTCCTAATGGTTTACGTGAGATGCTTGAAGGTTTTGTTCGATCTGTTATTTTATCGAAAATAAAATCTCGTGATTTATATAAATATGCTTATCAATATTTTCGTGAATATTATATATCAAATAAAACTTCAACTAAAACTAATATTGGTGATGATATAATGGATGAGCAAACCGAACAATCTATACGTGCAGCATATGAAAGTCTAGATGAATATGAAAATCGTTGTATGACACGGGCAGTTTTATTTGGTGATACATTTAATCCTGAAATTGAAAAACTTAATTTACCAAATATAAAAAATGAAAAAAGTTTTGAAGAATATGATTTTCTTCAACAATCGATTCCAAAAACATTACCATTTCGTGCACTTGATTATGAACAAATAGAACAAGTTATTCAACATTTTGAATTATACCATGTTAAATCCGAAGAAATATTAATGAGAGAAAAAGAGCAAGGAGATTATTTTTATCTTGTGCAAACGGGTATTTATGAAGCATTAATTAATGATAAACAAGTGAAAATTTGTAAGAATTTCTGTTACTTTTCTTTTTTTTTTTTATAAAAGATTTCTTTTTGTATTTAGATAATAATGAAGGTTCATTTGGTGAATTAGCTTTACTGTATAATCAAGCACGTTTAGCAACAATTCGAGCATTAACTGATGGAAAATTATGGCGTATGAATCGGAAAATATTTTCTCAAGTAGCTAGATTTGTCGCATTTAAAAAACGTCAACGTCATTTAGAATTTATAAAAAAATGTCAAATTTTACAAAATATGAATAAAAAAGAAATGTTAGATGTTGCTGATGCACTCAAATATGAGGAATATAAACGTGGAGATACAATAATTTATGAAGGAGATCTTGCAGATGCAAGTAAACAAAAACACAAAAAGAAAGCAACGAATGGACTTCATTGCATAAGATGATCACTCTTCAATTGAAAAGTCAACTATATCGTTTTGTAGAACGACTAATGGTACACCGAATAATTTACAGACAATTGTTTTTTCATCAAATTCTAATGTTTTGAGAAGTCATATACCAGTTAAAGGATACTTTAGCAATTGCGAATGACATAATCAAATATTAGAATTTAGTATGTCTCTTCAAACCAACCTAAATCAATTTTTTTTTAAAGTTATTTCAATAGAGTTCTGTTTCCTTTTTAACACTCTATATCGAACAGTACTCAGAATAGATTTATTCGTAGTCGAAACTTAGTATTTTTAGTAGTTTCTATAATTTTTTGCTTTTATGATACTTTAAATTGTTCGATACTGTTCCTGAGATCAAAGGCAACCAATCATGTAACTTTCCCAAAAATTGTGTGCCGTCAAGCTCTATAAGTATATTAATTGATTTTCTTCTGAATTGATATGCTTTATGGTCAAATCAACTAATGGATGCCTGAAAAAAGGTCAAATTTTTTATTCTTAAGAACAGAAAACTACATGAGTTTTAAGATAATAACTTTTTGACTCAAAAGTTTCTATCTATTAATAATAAGAATATCATACCCTGTCATTTGATATATATGGATCTTTCAAAAATGGCAAACAAATTTTTCGTTTTCGGATTCCTGGAGGAGGGAGGGTACGGAGTTGCGCAAAATTTTTAATTCTCATAATAAACTAAATTCATAAGGGAGAATAAAATAAATATATTCTTTGTAATAGTCTATTTCCGTACCCCCCCCCCCAGGTATCTGAAAACGAAAAACGTTTTCTGCTAGTTTTAAAAGATTCATATATGTCAAATGATAGGACATGATGAATTTATTATTAATAGGTAGAAACCTTGTTACTCAAAAAGAAATTTATCGCAAAACTCGTTTAGTTTTCAGCCCTTGCGAATTGAAAAGTTGAGATAATGATTGGTTGATTGAACCCTGACGTACATCAATTCAGAGGACAATTAATTGGTATACTTATAGAACTTGGTGGCACACACCCTCTCGAAAAGTTGCACGGTTGGTCTCCTTTGCTTTCACAAATAATACCGAGGAATTTAAAACATCATAAGACTCAATACTTACAGATCCTAGTAAAAATACTAAGTTTGGACTACGAAAAGATCTATTGTGAGTATTATTAGATATACATGATTGAAGACCAGACAAAACTCTATTGAATTATCTTTAAATAAAATTTTATTTAGGTGGGTTTGAAGAAATATACTAAATCCTAATATTTGATTATATCCTGCACTATTACTTTAGTATCCCTTAACTGGTACATGGCTTCTCAGAACATTAACAATTGATGAAAACTCAATTTCCGATAAACTATTAAGTTCTTCACGAGTTACACTAAAAAACGATAATTGATTTTTCATATGATGGGTGACCATCCTATCTGACAGGGTCCTTCGGTTTTTTTTTTGTTATTATAAACCATCTTTACAATATTCTTTTTAGTGTATTTCGTTAAATCTGGTAGTGTAGAAATTCGTATACGTGAATCATCGAATAAATCTGATTATATTGTTGTTAAAACATGTCAGCCGGGTGATTATTTCGGTGAACGAGCCTTATTATATAATGAACGTCGTGCAGCAACAGCTGTTGCAATAGTGCATTGTCAATTGTTAGTACTTGATCGAGCTGATTTTAATCGTCTATTAGGGAGTGCTAAAGATGTATTAAAACGTAAAGCAAAAGACTACAAAACTATCGTTAAAGATATACAAAATAAACATATGTAGTTATATTCTTTTTCTCGTCTTTTTTTTTTTTTTTTGATGTAATATAGAAAAAAAAAGAATAAGAAGAATCAAGCTGATGCCACTGCATGTAGTTAGTCGAATCGAAAGATGAATGAAACATCGATTATAAGCGAACAATGGCTTAATGAAATTCAATTTGGTAATGTAGGTGCAGCTCTATTTATCATAGCTTATATTGGTTTCTATGGGTTTGGAATCATGTCTTTTTTTATTCAACAATTAAAAGAAACTCAACGACAACGTTCTGATTTACCAGCATATTTTTTAAAAACACTTTGGGATGTGCCAAGTAAAAATAAACTTTATGGTTTGTAATTAATAAAAAGCAATTTTATTTTTCAATTGAATTATTTATTCTTTTTTCTTTAGAAGAATTAGCTGATGTTGAACGTTTAAAACGAATATTTCGTTGTTATTTTACGGATCATGAGTCGTATACGACAATAACAAATGATGAACTCCAAGCTATTGTTGACGAACGTGCATATGCATGTGCTTTAAAATATCGAGAAAAATTGCGTCGTCTTCATTTATCACATACAGATTATTATTTAGATACAATTCACCGTCTATCTCATATTGGTACTGATGTTCAAGAACAAGTTTCAAAATCAATAACATCAACACGTACATCTAATATGAAAACAAGTATTGAATATTTAAAAGAAGAAGATTCTGATGATCATTTATTGTCCATATCTGTTGTTTAAGAAGAGACCTTGTGTTTTTTCTTTTTTGTCTTTTGAAATTTTAATTAAATATTTCGATTTTGCATACGCCAATTTTCTTCCATTTTACGTTCTCGATTTCCCCATCCAAAACTGGATCCATTTGAACGTATATTTGCAGTTGAATTGATCGTTCGTGAGTTCATTATATTGTTGTTCGATGTTGCAAGAGAAGTTGATACCGATTGATGCATTGCCATAGTATTCACTGGTGATGTTGAAGTATGTACAGTGGATGATGGAGTTAATGCAGCTAACATAGCCGAAATCTTTTGTGAAGAGACATTCTAATAAAGAATAAAAATATATAAACGCGGTGACAACAGAAATAATCTATTATGTGCCCTGCTAGAAGATTTTAGGTAGTTTGAACTAGCGTGAATTACAATACTAACAAGAGAACTTTTCGTAGATTTTTGTTATGGTTGCATAGAACTGGTCGAGTTACTTCTAGCTTATATTGTTTTTAACCTAGTCGAACAATGTTTCTATAATGAATCTTACAACAGGTTTTCATCAAATTTCGGTCCTTACGGTTACTTTTCAATACTCTGAACTGTGCTTTTCCTAAGGTCGAAACTTTTCAAAACCTTATTTTTGGGTATGGGATATACTATTCGATGCAGGTTCTGAAATATGATACTCGTTTCACTTCAACTTGAAGTTCTATAAATCAAAATCTTTAAATACGAACTCATATTTATGAAAAAATCGATTTTCTCAGAATTGAAACAATATTTTTCAAAAATCATGCGTCATTGTTTTCTTAATCATACGATGACTAAAATCAAAAAATTTGGATAAATACTGAGACTTGATACTTTTAGCATATTTCAATTTTTGTACGCTTTATTTTTATGCTAATTTTCCCAAGTTCTTCTACAAAAATATTGCTCAAATATGTCAAAAAACAACGACTGTTAGAAGTAACTCTATGAATTTTAAATCGTTTTCAATTTATTTTATTCTGTTGAATTGAAATCAAAAGAATCGCATTTTCTTTTAATGAAGGTTATGAGAAAAATAGTCATGTGGAATACAGACAAAGAAAGATAATCTCGATTTGATTATCTATTATGTTCATTTCAGAAAAAAAGAAAACATTTTTTTCAAACACATTATATAACATACTAAAGAAGGCATTAAAAGTGGATGAATTAATTGTTGTTGTCCAATCGTTGTCGATGTTAGATTATTTCCTTCAGCTGTCTTCTCATTTGTAACATTTTGATTTTGCATCTGAACAATTCTCATTAGTTTATATCTATTTCTATGAATAAAACCTTACCAAATTTCGTTGTAAATTAGCCAACAATAAAACTTTAGCTGTTAATTCAGGATTGAGTGATTGAAAGCTCATAATTTTTTTTTAAAATGAATTTAATAAATAAATGTAATATGTTTGAATGTATATATATATTTGAACACACGATAGATTCTTCGATATGAATTTAATGTATAAACAGAATTAAGAGACACACGACAACAACAAGAAGACAGCTGGTGAAATATTTATTTTTTTAACGGAGAAATGCTATCGAAATAATTTTTCCGCGCTCATTCTTTTTTTTTTTTTTTTTACTTAACTACAATATATAAACTTTTTAAATTAAATATATATTTCAAAACAGGTTCAGATAACAATGGAGTGAGGAAGAAAAAAAAACAAAACAACATGGAAGAAACAAACACGTAAAACTAACTTCACTAAAAAGATAAACTATCTTTTTCTATTCTTTTTTTTGTTTAAATGTTTACAATTCATCTTTGTTTCCTTCATCACCACTTGGTGGAACATCACTACCAGGTGGTGGTTGTTGTCCTTGATAAAGTTTAGTCATAATTGGTGTAACAACATCTTCAATAGATTTCTTTTGTGCTTTAAAGTCATCGACATCAGCTGATGCTTGATTTTCATCAAGCCATTTGATTTTTTCTTCAATTTCTTTTTCAATAGTTGATTTATCATCTGATGATAATTTACCACCAAGTTTATCTTTATCAGCTATTTGTGTTTTTAATGAATAAACATATGATTCAAGCTCATTTTTAGCATCAACACGATCTTTAACTTTTTTATCTTCTTCAGCAAATCTTTCAGAATCTTTTATCATACGTTCAATTTCTTCTGGTGATAAACGATTTGTATTTGAATTAATAACAATATTATTTTTATTTCCTGTGCCTTTATCTTCAGCAGTAACCTATTGAATAAATAATAATAATAATTATCTTTTTATTTTATTAAGAAATTATTAACTTACTTTAAGAATACCATTAACATCAATTTCAAAAGTAACTTCAATTTGTGGTACACCTCGTGGTGCTGGTGGAATACCAGTAAGATCAAATTTACCTAAAAGATGATTATCTTTTGTCATTGGACGTTCACCTTCATATACTTGAATGGTTACAACTGGTTGATTATCAGCAGCTGTTGAAAAAACTTGACTTTTCTTTGTTGGGATAACTGTATTACGTGGAATGATTTTGGTCATAACACCACCAACTGTTTCAATACCCATAGTTAATGGATTAACATCAAGTAAAACAAGATCACCAGTATTTTCTTCACCTGAAAGTACACCAGCTTGAACAGCAGCACCATAAGCTATAAATTCACAAAAACGAAAAAAAAAAACACAATAACATCAAATTAATAAACTAAAAAATTAAACTATTTACCAACAGCTTCATCAGGATTAATACCACGCGATGGCTCTTTTCCATCAAAAAATTCTTTAACTAATTGTTGAACTTTAGGTATACGTGTTGAACCACCAACAAGAACAACTTCAGCAATATCAGATTTTTTTAAGTCAGAATCTTCTAAGACTTTTTGTACTGGTTTCATTGTTGAACGAAATAAATCCATATTTAATTCTTCAAATTTAGCACGTGTTAATGTTTCACTAAAATCTTCATTATCAAAGAATGATTCAATTTCAATTTTAGCTTGATGTTGAGATGATAATGTACGTTTAGCTTTTTCAACTTCACGTCGTAATTTTTGTACAGCACGATTATCTTTTCGTACATCTTTACCAGTTTTCTTTTTAAATAATTTAATAAAATGTTCCATAACACGTTGATCAAAATCTTCACCACCTAAATGTGTATCACCATTTGTTGCAACAACTTCAAATACACCATTATCAATTGTTAAAAGTGATACATCGAATGTACCACCACCCAAATCAAAAACTAATATATTCTTTTCTCCCTCTTTCTTATCAAGACCATAGGCAATAGCAGCAGCTGTCGGTTCATTTATAATACGCATTACGATTAAACCTGAGATTGTTCCAGCATCTTTAGTTGCTTGACGTTGAGCATCATTAAAATAAGCTGGTACAGTAACAACAGCATGTGTAACTTTATGACCAAGATAGGCTTCCTAGTCATAGAATAATTAATGATAAAACATGGATATAAATGAATAAGAAAAATAACTTACAGCTATTTCACGCATTTTACTAAGTATCATAGCAGAAATTTCTTCTGGTTCAAAAAATTTTTGTTCAGTTCCAATTTGTACAGAGATTGTTGGTTTAGATCTACGTTCAACGACAGTAAATGGGAAATGTTTTATATCGGATTGAACACTTGGATCTTTAAATTCTCGACCAATAAGACGTTTTACATCAAATACTGTATTTTCAGGATTTGATGTTAATTGATTTTTAGCTGCATCACCAATTAAACGTTCACCATCAGCAGTAAATGCAACATATGATGGTGTTATACGATTGCCTTGATCATTAGCAATAATTTCTACACGACCATTTTTAAATATACCAACACATGAATATGTTGTCTACAACCAACAACAACAAAAAAATATATTAAATCAATAATTTCTTTTGTTCAGAAAAAAAACGAAAACTTACACCAAGATCAATACCAATTACTGTACCAACATCTTCTTTTTTCTTTCCACTAGAATCTTCTTTAGCAAAAGCTATTGTCGCCAAGACGACGACAATTAGTGATATGGACTTAAACATTATTTGTTATTCTTAATTGGAAGAGATTTGAATTTATCTGAAATAATAAAATGTATCAATACAAAAGTAATTGTTTGTCTTATTTATATACAAAAGAAAAAATATTATTCTAAAATACGTGTCAGTCGATAACTATGAGCATGTTTGTTATTTTGCTTGGCCTATGTGAAGATGTGCAATTGGCACCGAATGCCACGTAAAGAAGAACGATTCGTCTATCAGTGAAGATTATATTTACATCGCCCTCCATTTGATTGTACAGCTGCTTAAACGAGTAATCACATGGTTGGTAACCGACATAAAGCAATCAGTGCATTTGAAATAGAATTGACGTGCATGACCAAATAATTATATTCATTCAAACATAGAATATTACTTTTTTACTACAAAACATGGTAAAATATTTCATATAAATTATTGTTCTATAGATGGTGCTAGTATCTATTCAACAAACAAAATTATTTTGGCATGTCTCAATTCATTTGTTCAACGTTAGAATGTGAGAAGATAACCATTCGAATTGTATCTTATGCATTTTTCGGAAAGATTCCCAAAACAGCTTGGTTAGGTAATGATTTCACCTCTTGCATAATATTATATCAAAACATGTCCTAACTCAGCCTCTTTCGACTTGGTGAAAACTCCAGATCGCTAGGTATTGTTGTTCCCCTGATATTCGTCTTACACTAACCCACACTTAATTCCGGCGCCAATACGAAAATTCTCTAAGAGAAATAAATCAGACGATGAGCCTTGATTGCAACTACAAAATATGAGATATTCAGGTTGGAACGTCTGCATTTCACTATGATATCGTCCATGACACTGAAACTTGATGACGTGAATACATTCTTTTTTCTTGATTGCCATTCCTTTCTTCTACAAAAACTATTCAAACAGTAATACAATCCACTTGCTTTGTAGAGAAACAAAAATTGTATCGTCTAAAACGTTTTGGAACTTGAGACATGGAAAAAACTGTAAAATATGATGGGATTATAAAAAAAAGGTTACTGACTATGGTTTCAAAATTTGATGAATTATGACCTTCGTGAATTTTCATAGACAAGTCCGAATGAAGATATATTTAGATTTTCATTATAACTATCGATAAGCTTTCGCATGAGACATTTAAATTTAAAATCTATAATTTTTTCGTCGCCAACGTCTGTTGATTTTGGTCGGTCTTATCGTAGAACCAATTTTAAAAACTTATAAGTCACTATCGTAGAGTTTCGAATTAGTCTACAAGTCCGCTCGTGATCATCTAAGATCACATCATTTTAGAAGAATTAGTACATATACATTTATATACAAGCAGATGTATAGAAAAAACTTGTTGAAGTTTGATTACCAAAAAAACAAAATCAGGTGTGCGTACTTAACAAAGTTGCCAATGATTGTGATATGTGCGTGCGTTGCTATTTTTCGAGCAACAAGGAACATACCAAATCAGATTAATAGCAGACTGCATATGTATCTACAGTAGCAATTTTTCTTTCTTTAATAATTAAGTTCATCCACTGGTACATATATACTAGTAAATAGCCATAAAAAAAAACAGAAAAGAAAAGAAAAATATTCATAACAAAAAGTGATGCATGTTACACGTGTAACTCGACTTTGAGCAGTGTTGACATAGGTTTTTATTTTAAATTGTTCCACATGTATGTTTATCGTCTAAAAACAAAAGAAAACAAATAATAATTTAGTAAATGTTTTGTTTAATTGTAGACCAAAACATACTATTACTATTACTATTACTATTACAAAAATGACTGATTGTTGATTTGTCAGATTTATCTTATTTTTTTTTATACAGTATGTTATTAGAGACACCATTTTAATTTCTATATGTGAATTGATCAAAGGAACTAATTAATTGTAATCTATTGCTTAAACAAATACTAAACAATATAAGAAAGACTGTCTCCGCTCTCAATCAACAAATCTATAGAATTATTTAATATATTATGGACACATGTCTCAAACGATCCTGTTTGATTGCTAGTGTAAAATATACTATTGTTTTTTTCTTAATACAATCAATAATAACATTGAAAAGGATATTAGTATTGAATTCATTACGCATGAATATTGTATTCAATTGTTCATGTGTTCACGACATTGTGTTTTCTAACATAAGAAAAACAATGAAAATGCTAAATTTTCTCTTAAACAGATGCTCACTCGAAAGATTTTAGTAAGGATTTTTTTTCTGAAGAGATATATCATAGGTTTAAAGTTTCTTCTTGTCTGACATCTATGAGATAGATAAGTAAACACTTCAGCGAGACTTTTTTCTAAATAAGATTTCTCGTTAAAATTTTGTTTATCAACTGTTTGGTATATATTCTAGCCAGTTCTATCATGCTACAAATTGCTAATTTTTGTTTGAAGATTGTTCTGCAAAAAGAAATAATTTAATTTGCACACTCTTGAAGAAAAGAAAAAAAGCCTAAAACTGTATCTTTCACATAATTGAACGTGTTGGTGTCAGTAAAGAAACCACCACCCTTACCGTGATGGAGACAAGATGTTATATAACTCTGATCATCATCAATAAACTTACAGTGACCGACAGTTGAGGAAAACAACTTATTAAATACAACAAATGCATTAGATTGGTATATAGAAAAATAATGTTTTTTTTGAAAGACAGGTTTCTTGTAACTACACATTGTCAGAATTTATACAGATGAACATAGCTCTAATTTTTTATGTTACCTGATAGAAGACGCTCTAAATCATCTTTAAAAATAAAAATCTTAAAATCGAAAAAATGGATTGTAATACTGAAAAGAGGGTGTCCTTAAAAGTAAATACAATTGATGTCTTTCAATATTTGTTCATGTAACCATAATGGAATGTAATACAATTTAATCTGATAACACCTTCTCTGTTTGATAGCTTCTTGAGTGAAGCTTTCAGACATTCCATAATAGAATACATTACTAGTCAGTCTAAGACAGTTGCTCGCGAAGACTACGAAGGTAGGTTTTCTCTTCATTAACATCCACATTCTGATAGTTTATGGTATACATAGTTTCTAGAGTATCCATACTTCCGAAGAAGTTTTGACGACTAGAACAATTAAATCAATCAGTTTATGATGATGATTATTTTCCGACGAGAAATTACTTTTATTTATAAATGCATTTCGCTATTTAATTCAAAATTCTTGTGAAATTTTGTGTAGCGGGAAAGTGAGCGAGTGAGGAACTGTTCATTTCCCCCAGCTACTTACTATAGAAAACACTTTAAAAAAGCTAAAACTTCAGTTATGGTGAAACGGACAACATCCATTATCGATTTTTCATATCGTGACTAATGTCCGCGCCAGAATAAAAGAGGGGTGAGTGTAAGCTCAATAACTCGACAACCGCAATGCCTAGCTACCTGCGGTTTTCACCAATCGAAAGAGGAGGAGCGGGCACGTCTTTTTCTTCGATAATGTATAAGACGAAATTCTTTTAAAGCTAATGATATTTGAAAAANTCAGAAACTCCTTTCTGAAAAAGGAAAACCAATGCTCCTCCACAAAAGTTAAAAATGAATTAATTGATCAATCTCACATGGTTGAAAAAAAGTAATTAAGAGCGATATCGACATATTGATCGCAACGATATTGTTCTCGACGAACAGAACGAAAGAAAATATTCTGCGACGAATTGATCGCGACGAATTGATCGGTCACCTTTCTGAAAGGGGACGGTGACTTCTCAGCGCTTCCATTTAAATCCGCCACTGTTTTACTATTATCAGATACATACCAATTCATGTTAATTTTTGGTTTAGCCAAATGGAAATATCTGACTTTTATGACTTGATTGACTTTCAAAGTCAGCTCGTTATGACCAAATATTACGAAATGAACAAAATGAAAGTTTTTTTAGAGCAAACTTTCAGAATGTCAGGTCATTGCTTAACAACCATGATGATGTCGAACGAAAAATTAATAATACTATTCGCTATGGAATTTTAACCTTTTTTTCGAAAAGCACAGTTTCAGTAAGGACAAAAGCAAAACATAATCAAAACTAACGTCAAATTCTGCATCAGATGACGTGTTTCTCGCCAGAATTCAAGCAAAACAAAAACATTTTCAGAAAAATCAAAGTCGTAGTTTTAATAAACTAAATACTACACTTTGTTCAAAATTCAATGATAGTTCCAAATATATGTATGTTTCTGAACCTGAACAACGTAAAAAGCTCAGTGGTTTAATGTCATCACGATATTCGGATACTTATGAAATTCCATGATACAATATTTCTATAAAAAAATGCACAAATTAAATAAAAATATGCTCAAAATGGATGTGTTCGATAGAGCTCGTTCATTGTTGCCTTGAAATGTTCTTTTTCTTACGAAAATTAACAATATAAGCGAGCAAAACACACTATAAACAAGTGGCATGACAGAGTTTTATGAAAAAGTCGGACGGTTTGGGAATGTATTTTCTTGGTTCATAGACATCTAATATTTGTGTACCTCATAATCTATTGATTAATATGCAATTGAAGAATTTGTTTTCTACTAATTCATATTTATTGAAATATATATTCTACTAGTATCTTTTACATACACTTTCAATTTAACCATCCTAAAAAAGATTTTACATGTCTTGAAACATGCAAAACTTCTTAGAAATAGAAACGCTTCCATTTCTAATACTGTTGATAGTATTCTTTCCAACGATGACTCAACTTCCTTTACTCTTGAGTTCGAATTCTCTCTATGTGTAAATTATTTTTGTCATTTTCACTACATGTCTCGATCACCATGACATATCTCGGTGAGACTAAGAAAGCTTAGTAACTCTTCAGGATTTATTTTTCCATAATTTTTTGACATTTCCCTATGTATTCTCGTTTTCTTTATTTTAACCCCGAATAAACGAGATAAGCATGAAAATGAATTGAGAGTCCTATCTTTCAAATTATAAATTTATTTATGATTTCATTAAAATGTAAATTATTACACAACATCAAAAGAGA